CCATGTATTTCCATAGCTTTTCATTTGATTATGCTTCTTTTGAAGCTCTGTTATTAAAGAAAATAAGTGCTACCTTTCAAACACAGCTGGAGTAGTGGCAAGGGACAAGGTTTCTCTGTAGCATTAATTTTTAATGTATTTTCACTCTTAAGATTGACCTTCCATTTATAAGATAAAAGTACATTTGAGACAAGGAGTCTCCCTGAGATATTAATAGCTTATTTAATTATTCTCCTTTCCTTAGTAGTCATACTTCAGAAGGCATTCAGAGAAGCTGCATGAGCACCCTGCACATGAAGCTGCACGAGCACACAGTACTCAAAACACATAGACATTTGTTTTATTTGCCCATTTCCCTTGATTTGCCAACCTGTTTTAAATGCAATTGACAAACTTGATTGATGTCTTTCATCTTGTGATATAGAGGTGAAAAGATTAGACATCCTCTGAGGCTGGCAGTGGCAGAAATTACCTAGGGTCACACTTTCAAAGCAAAATTTAAAAGCAGCAGAGCTCCTCTCTTGGAGCTACTTTCTCCTATTTGGGATGTTTTTGGTGATGTCCAGCACTAGTGCCAGAACAGCAGCACTCTGACTTCTTTTGCTGCCAAAGAAGGAGCTTGTGAGCACAGTCAGACCTCAAGACCTGACTTTCCAAGGATGTCCGGTCCAGTGTGAGCAAACCAGGGAGGAGGTGGTGGTGCCACCTGCAGAGTCCTGAAGCTGTTGGCAGGCCTGGGATAACAGCACATTCTCATGCTGCCACTGATCATAAAAGCCAATTGAACTGAACAGGGCCAGATCACTTCCACCACAGCCTCAGGTGGAGGTTAGCTTGATCCAGAGAGGGATGGACGTGAAAAAAAGCTGTTCTGGGTACTGCTGCGGAAAGCAAGTAAATTTGCCCTATGATATTTTCATTCACCAAGAGAAACAGATGGGGTTGGGTGAACAAGCCAAAACCAGCTTTAATTAGTACTCCTTTGGAAAGGAATGTGCATAGGGACGCATGCTGCAGTAATTTGAATCAAGCTGGCAGTAATACCTCTGTCTTTAAAAGATCCTCTAGTACTTGTTCCAACAGCTCAGTATATTTTGCTTTCAAACTCCTTCACCTACAGCACAATACAGTTCCATTAGACTCAGGCTCCTAGATCCATGGAAGGATTTTAGAAGCATACAGCTGAATATGTTGCAGACATCATCTCTGGGGACACTCAGGCAAATTTCATTTAACACTGAAATTTGTTTTCAAGATTTGACAAAGACTTTCCTTGTATCTGGACAGGCAGATGTATTATCATTGTGGAATAACACTTTCAGAGCAGAGAGGAAGTTTCACAAGGATAGATCTGTGCATAACAACAGATTATTACTTTCTCTAAATGAACTAGTTCAAGCCAATGGAAAGAGAAGCCACATGGGTTCAAATTAAAGTTTGTCTTAAAATACTTCTACTTACTGTACAAACCTAATATTTTCTTGACTGCTGTTTAGGAGAGAGAGATCACACTGTGATACCTAATGAAGCTCAGATGCAAATTATTAAAATAAAATAGAGCAATCAGGTGGGAATTGAAAATTCAGAATCATTCTGTGTTTGCTGAGAAGTCATTATTAAAGAAAAAAGAATAATTCATTCCCACTGAGTTACTTGGAGACATTAAACACCACACGATGGAGACTATTCATATTTCACTAGTATATAGGATAGCCAGACTCCCTAGTAGGAAATAACTTCCCTATGGATGTATCTAAGCAAAGGTGAACCCGAGGCATCTTGAGATGCCCTAACAGATGACAAAAAGCTAGAAAGCCATTAAAAAAACCTGATTAACTCAAACCTTCCAAATTCTAGTTATATATATATATATTATATATATATATATATATATATATATATATATATATATATATATATATATTATATATATATATATATATATATATATATATATATATATATATATATATNTATATATATATATATATATATCTCAAGATTTCCTCTTGATGTCAAGCAGCAATTTCAACTTTCCTTGTGTTGGTTATTTTTTTTTTTTTCATACTCTGATGGGTGTGTGCATGGATTTGGTAGCCTCTCTCTTTTGAGGCTGCTTCCCTTTTCAGCTGCTTACCTCCACATTACCAGTGTGGTGATTGCCTGCACACCTTGGTCCTAAGCACTGCGAAAGCCAAACTAGGAGGATTGCCCAAGGGAAGGCAGCATGGTTTCCTCTTCCAAGAAGCTGAGTAACATCTAGTTTCTTACTTTTCTGTGAAGGAGACTGCATATTCCCAGGCTGCTCCACCCCTGCCAGGATCAACTCATATAAAATGTGCTGTTCCTACTGCATTAGGTCAAGGCTGCTAATCTATTATTCTGTAGAAATTTGAGTGTAGGAGATGCAAGAAGTTAACAGTGGAGAGACTTGTAATTTATATCCCACTCTCAACTCACTGCCAACAGTGCAGAAGAGTTTTGAGACTTGAAAATGAAAACTGGACACTGGGAATTATCTTTCTGTGGTGGTTTTAAGAGACCAAAAAGAGTCTGCAATAGGTGTAGGCCAAATACTGTGTGTGTCTGCTTAAGTTTTGATTGCAGTGAGAATAGGCTTGGATAAAAACCACAAGAGTACTTCAGGATCTGGCCCCATGTAGGGTGTTTAGGGGAGACTGGTTGTCAGCAATTGGGTCAAGCCAACAACTTCTGTCTACTTAAAATAAAGTCATTATTCTCAAACCCACAGCAGTGCCTGCTCCTGATGACTGCTGCAGTCACTGATTGAAACCAGAATTAGCCAAAGTCTTTCTCGGTCCCTGCTTCTAATTTAACTTCCCAGCCTTGTTATTTCTGGCTGTAAACATTTTTATTTTTTTACTCTGAGAGAGAGTTCAAAGTTTTTAACTGATTGTGCCCAAGTAAGTTTTCTAGCCAGGAGCCTGTACTGCTTCTTGAACTTGAAAATAATTGGTCCAGTCAGGGATTTCTTGAGGAACACTGGACAAAATGCTCTGTAGGCATTTCAAGGGTAATCATACGCTAACCTGTCCCAGGATACTTAATCTGTTAGATCATATTTCATATTTTTATCATGATAGCATGAAGAGGCCCCAGCAAGACCCCCAGTGAGCTAGAAATTTTAGAAATGTGGATGTTTACCTGGTCTCTTTCCTGAAAGCTAACAATCTAAAAGAAGCCTATAAAAAGCATATTTAGAGAAAAACAATAAACCTGGTAAAGTGGTCACTGTAGTGAATAATCTTATTTGCTTGTATTAAACTTACTTTTGTCATCTGACCAGCAACATCCAGCTTGTGTCAAATCAACTAGCAAAGAAATGGATATTTCTGTGCAAAACTCACAGGAAATCTTGCAACATCACTCTTTTGCTATACTTTTGGATAGCTGCAGTTATTCCCTGTTAAAATTATTAGTAGTCTAAATGAATGAGATCACCTACTGAATAAAAGCACAGCCAAGCCACACTCATAACATGATCTCATGCAGGCATGTCTTCAAGAATGCCCCCCTGAGAATTTTCAACAATTGTTCATCCAATTGTTGTATGTAACATCTATTCAGAAAGGAAATGTGGCTGACAAAATCAACTAAAAAAAGAACTCACTGGTGCCAGAAAAAATATTAAAAAGTGTTTGTGCCTGGGTATTTTAATATATATTCTTTTCTCATCACCAAAAAAGAATCCATTCATTTTAAACAAATCTACATAATGTTAATTTTTCACATACAAGGGCCATTCATTTATTTCAGTTGAGGCTCATGAGACTAGGTCTTAAATAAGTTATGCATGAGTGTCTCCATGCCCTAGAGCCAAATATAGCAAAACATTCTCTTATGGCAACCATATAGTGCAGATCTGTCTGCACAGTTCCAACACCAATAATATTTTTGTCTCATCTACACAGCAAGAAAGCACTGTTTTTTAGAAAGGAGGAACGAGGAGATGAAAACATCCACCAGTTGAAGACCATTTTGGTGCTAAACAAGCCAGATGATTCCTTGTCAGATTTTCATAATTCATCATCCACTTTTGAAAAGTACCCATCTGCATACCTGTCCTAAAATACAGATGATTATAAGGGACTTGTTGAGAGGAATTGTGCACTGGAGAGGGCACTTGAACCAGAACCACTAAATCCTCATAATCACGAGCTCATCCTTCTTCCCAAATCTCTGCCAAGGAGATCACCAAGAACTCAGACATTACACAACATTGACTTTCTGTCTCTTTGAAGAACTTTGATCCTTGCAAGCAGACATTTTCTACCCAAGACAGCTCATTGCATTAGTCTATCCCCTTGCCAGCTCTGTGCAGAGGCTAAAGAGAAATTTTGCTGCACAAGACAGTGTGAAACATGAAGATGTGGCTCAAATGGAAAGCACAAGTGGTCAGAAAAAAGAAAAGAAAATGTGGGGAAAAGGGGGAAAGAAGAAAACGGATGAGAGCCAAAGAGAAAGAAACAGACACTGGTTTTGTTGCATGGGTTTGAAAGCTTTTATGTGAGGACTTAGTGTATGGTATTACTGACATTTAGCACTTAGAAATGACACTACAGTTGGTAAGTGCCTTTGGGCAGCAGACAGACAGGGTACCATGCAAAATACCTCACAGATTTTTAGCAAGTCTGCTTAATGATCTTTTATTGCATGAGTCACAGATCCCACTGACAAACTAGTATGGTCAGTGCTGGTGTGAGCCACCAGCATGCTTGCCCAAAATGCCACCAATGATACTTCCCCTCTGAAGCACAGAGATGAGTTTTTAATTCTGTTAGATGGTCGTCTAGAAAAAATACTTTCCCTACACTCTCTCCAATGCCGATTTTCAGGATATCACTGAAAAACAGGTTTTCTGACACTATCACTGACTGGCATTTTGAAGATCTTTTTTTGTTTGTATTTTGGTTACTGAGGGATAATGCCAACCAAGTGTGCCCACACATTTTTTAATGTTTCTGCTAGCAAGAAGTTACCTGACAGCCATCCAGAGCATGACACCCGCAAGATTTAAGAACCATGCAAAGGGACAGGTACAAAACAGTGATGCAGGAACACCACAGTGCTGCAAGTCTCCAGTCACGTTTGTTTGCCTGGCACACATGGGAGAAATTGAAATAGGCAAGCTCAGTCTGCTAAACCAAGCAAGGACATCTAACAGAGACAATGAATGGGGCCAGGTGCATTTTATTCTCTAACAGATGGTATGAAAAAACCTCCTTGAATGCAATTTCAGCATTTCTGTGCATGCAAGAGAAAAAGTCTGAATTTATATTTAACTTCTCTTGAGCAGGACTGACTGCCATTTTCACTTCTTTTTCCTCACTGGAAAAAGTGGGCCTGGGCCTGATTCTCAGCTGATGTAATCTGGCATTTTGCCACCCAAAGCAATGAAAGTGCATGGGCAGAGAGGAAAGACAACAGTTTAGTCAAGGACCCTTGAGAAAGCTCCGCCTTTAAGTGCTACCACAGACTGACATCCATGCAAAGCAAACAGGATGTCCAATTTTAAATCTCTAACAAGCCACATCCTGTAAACTCCATTCTACTCAGCTGACCCAGGAGATAAAATGGTTGGGACTGATCCACAGCCATGATAAGGCTGGTTTGCTTAAAGTTACAGCTGAAAATGCCTCCTGAATGGAATTTTATTTTATTCCACCTGCCCCACACCCCACTTCAGGCATGCAAAGAATGAAAACAGTAGATCAGAAGTGAGACTGCTGCCCCAGCAGAGCTCAGATGTTCCTGCTGGTTGTTTCCAGGACATTGCCAGCCCCAGAGTAATCATCAGTCTTACCCTTCACTGAACCTGATCTTCAGACAGATAACAAATAAGGGTGTTTCCTTCTAGGGGGAAAAAAATGCTTAATTGCAAATGGATTTAAGAAGATCATAAAGACCTACCAGTTCATAGCTGTTGAAAGAGGCAGTTTGTTGGTCTTTCACTGCTATTCCACTCTCCATGCACAGTACATCTGCTATTAAGAGACTTTTAAAGCTCATCCAGGTTGTGTGAAGCAATCCTGCCTAACAAACACACGAAAGGTATTTGGGAACATTTGTTGTTTCACGTTTATAAACCTGTATCAGTGATGCCATAGTACTCTGAGGACTGACTTTAGTCCTTCATTTTCATTCACCACAATATTTGCAATTATGCCCATGTGAGAAGCTGCTAATCAGGGTCCACAAAAGCCAAATAATTTTGAGTCTATACATGTGTGTGGCTGTACCTTGTGGCCTAAAAGCCATAATTGTTAATGCTATATATGTTAATAGAAACTTTGCAATTTTTTTATATTAGGAGAAGAAAAGCTGGCATTATCCTAACATGACTAAAATTGAACAAGATGCACTTTTTGGACTATTCTAGACATAATTTCATCTCAGCACATACTTTGTTGTTCATTTACTTGCAAGACTGGCAGTACAGGCTAAAGGTTTCTGTTGTACTCTAGTTTAAAAGCCATCCACCTAGCAATGAGGAGGCTGGCAGAAAACTCTTGGTTTCTGACTGCCCTCCACTACTCCCATAAGTGAAGAGACAGTCCTGCTGGGAATGATGGCAGAAAAACCCAGCAGAGACTGATGACATCTCATCCATGAGACAGGCAGAAAAACCAGGATAGGGAGGATGCAGGAGCAGGTTGAACTTTGCTGAAGTCACATATTTGATCACAGCCAACCCAAGTCCTCAGAGTAGATGCCAGTCCCCGAGACTGACTCCACAGCATTTCTTGTAAGTATATTTTAATTGTACAATGAATTGAGACTTATCTGGGGCAGGTAAAGCAGGCCTTAGAGCAAAGTCCTACTGCTGGATTAGTCCTGCACGAGTATGGATTTCAGCAGGTTGGCTTATGGCTCGTTACGTTGCATTACTTTGTGTACTGCTCTATGAATTCATTTGTGGCAGACTGTGGGAGAATATGCTTGTTCTTCCTAGGCCCTTGTGTGCAAGTGCTCTCAGCTTGCCAGCACAGTAAATTAAACTGCTGGTGGAAAGACACTGATCCTACTCTAGAAGATGAACTCTTCCAGCTGTTAATGTAAGTCAGATTTTGGGACGGGGAGCAAAATGGAAAAAAAGAGGGAGATGAAGGGTATGATACTTGGTGGAAGGAATTTTGGCAGTGGGTTTTGCCCTGACAAGCAGCAGGGTTCCTTGCTAAGGAGATCACGTATGCTGCATGCAGGCTTGGAATCATGGAGACAGCTGATGAGAGTTTAGGCTTTGCCAGACAATAGCATTGTAGTACACAGACCAAGAAAAACTCATCAGATATGAATGGAAAAGTAGCTTTCTGGAGAATTCCCTCATGGAGTCATTACTGAGCCTTCCCACAGCATGCTAGCAACATGTGCAGACATATGGACAGAGACTCTTGCTATGAACAATGCCACCCTATGCTGTAGCGCATTCCAGAGCGCCCCCCACAAAGTATCTCATGGACACCGTAACTCCTGAACCCTCCAGCATTCCTGCCTATAAGCTACTTTTTCAGCCATTCCCCAGGAACAGACTCTTAATCCTTAGTGAGGTTAACTGGAACAATGGTACTTATGGGACTGTGCTAGAAAAGGAGGAATGAGCAGAAGGTGCAGGAGGAATTAAACACAGCCCAAGAGATGGGTGCCCAAATTCTGTCAAATAGCATTGATGGGAGGGGACTGTACATTGCTCTCCATAGCTTTTAAGTGCACACCATCAAAAGCAACCTAGCCTGCTTTAGAAAAAGCATAGACAATAGGTCTAGGGAATAGATCCTTCTCCTCTATCCAGCCCTGCTGAGATATACTTGTGTTGATAGGTCCAGTTCTAGGCTTGAAGAGAGAACTCAACATACTGGAGTGGGTCCTGCAAAACAATCTCAACCATAATTAAGGGATTGAAGCATTTTACATAAACAAGCAGGGGCTGAGAGAGCTGGGACTCTTGTGCCTGGAGAAAAGAGGGGATTTTATCAAAGCATATAACTATCTGAAGGGGAGAATAGTCAGTAAAGAAGATGGAATTAAGTAGTGCTTAAGTGTCCACACTTAAGTGTCCTCTTGTCTTTATGGGACAAGAGGAGGTGGACATGAGCTGAAATACAAAGAAGTCCACTTAAATGTAAAATAAAACTTTTTTTTTTTTTTTTCTGTAAGGATGGTCAAACACTGGAAGAGGTATCCTGGAGAGTCTGTGGAGTCTTCCTCCTTGATGATATTCAAAGCCCAAGTTGATGTGGCACTGAGCAATGTGCTGTATTTGACCCTGCCAAGTGCAGCAAGGTCAGACTGGATGACATCCTAAGGTCTTTTGCTTCTGCAGCTCTTCTGTGACATTCAGTCCTTTGAAATAAGGACAATGGTATTGAAATAAGGACAATGGTACTAATCCAGCTTGTCTTTCCACAAGGTTATTGGAGTACAAGCAAAATTCCATAAGTGTACAAGCTTTATCTTCATCACCTCTTGAAGCAGCAAAGGAAGTTGGTGTCCTATGCTTGGATTTTAGTAAGACACATAACAGCTTGGCTATCTTTACCAACTATCCTTCAACTCTAAAGCCAGCATGCTTTATAGCCAATGATGTTAGCAAACCTGTGCTAAGGAAAAAAAAAACAATTGCAGAATATTTCCAGTCTCAGGCTAGAGGCAGGATGTCCAAGACTGAATCTGTCTAAAAAGTAATTTCCTTCTGATGTAAAAGACATTCTCTTTTTAATTCTCCCTCCTGAAAATACCATTGCTTTCTTATTTACTAAATGGCGTCAAATATCAGCCAGCAGAAAGTGTCCAACATGTCCCATGGTAAGTATCAATTTATACCCATTATGGAAAGCCTTATGCAGGTCTGTAGAAAATAAGTGGGTCTAAAATGAAAGTTTTCTAGAAACAAAATAGCTTTCTCAGCAATGTCTTAACATTTTCTATGGAAGGGAAAAGCTAAAAAAAATCCACATCTATAATATCTCTGCTGAAAGTGTGCAAAAGGCTCTGCTACAGTAGAGGTTGTTCTCTCTCCTTGCTTCGTTTTTGTACTTTCATATCTACCTATAGCATGGTAATGAAGGTTGTTTATTTCTCCAAAGAAATTGCTTCTAAATGAAATGTAAAGTGTCAGTTCCGTCACATGGTGTCTTAGCTGACACTTCAGTTGTGGGTGCCTCTACCCTCTGTCTTGGTTCGACAAGACAGGAATCTGCAAAGGAGGGCTAAAGCCTCCTGTGCAATGGAGAAGGTAAACCCCCTCCCTCCGAATTACTAGGAGTTTTAAATTAAAAGGCTCTCAGGCAAAGATATGGGAATGGGAGTAACAATTCTTTACTAGGAGAAAACTAGACAACAATTTAAAAAGGCAAATGCAATCGGTACAAACAAAACCAGTGAAAAATCCACAACCTGAGGATTCGGGGTGCCAGTATCAGTTCTGCTGGGACGATTGCTCCCCTTGCAGTGGTTGATGAACTGCAGCTGCAGTGGTGATCTTTAGAAGGGTATAGTTTTCCTCTGAAGATCTGGTGGCAGTGGGGCCGGTCTTCCTCTGCACCGGGGTTGCCTCCGAGCTCCGCCGCCGTCGCCTCAGCGCGCTTCGGCTGCTTTGCTGCGAGAGACGCCGAAGAGAGCTGCTTCTCTGGCAATCCCCCAAAGTAAAGAGCTGCTCTGTCCCCAAAAAGGTACCCCCTTATATCCAATAAAAGAGTGCTTGGCTTCCCCCTCTGGGTGGAACATCTCACAATAGGATGGTGTTACGTTACCAGCCCTGCATTGAATCAGTCAATGGCCCATTAGCAAACCATTACCTCTTAGGAGCAAAACCGGTTCTTGGAAAAGATAACAAACTTGCCCAACTTTCAACAGATGGCAAATAGAATACAAGCTTATCTTACAAACCAGGACACCCTCACAGAGCAGAATAAGGTTGGTTCAGAAGTATTCTTTATATAAGGGAATCAGGAAAATCTGTCCCTTTATTCTCTCTCTGCTCTCATAAATAGATGATCTGTCCCAAAACATCCAACTGCAGGTCTGCCA